AGGGCCTTGGGGGGGGGTGTCAAGCAAGCCGCAGGAAGGGATCCATGAAGCCACCCAGAGTGCCAAGGAGAGGTTGCCCTTCTTACTTCTTGGGGCTCCCCTTTTTGCTGTTGTGTGGGGCTGCATGCCCCCAGACTGCTGGGCTTGTCACCTTCCCCTTCACCCCACATTTTCTCCCATGCTGAGCTGGATCCTGGGGTATAAAAGCTGCATGCTGCGGTGAGCATGCAAGACCTCCTGCTTTTCAGAGAAGGAAACAAAGGTCTTCCACGCAAGGGGGTCCCGGTGGGCTGCTTCCAGCCTATCTGAGCTTGCTTCTCCTTTGCTTCAAAAACCCCTCGGCCGCTGAGGCCTTGCACGGCCTCTTCACCCAGGACCCTCCGCCGGACTCCCTTTGCCATCGCTCTCCTTATGCAGAAGATTCGGCGGCCTGTGCTTCTTTTGTAGGGAAGTCAGCTGACGCAGAACGGCACTTCTGGGGAGCAGTAATTGCCCCCTCTATTTAGCTAGCTCCTTGGAGGTTAATGTTCTGCGTCTTGTGCATTAACGCGCCTTGCTTCAGAGCAATGTGTCAGAGGACTTCCTTGGCGACGCCTGCCTGCCCCACCGGCTGCCTTTTCAACCTTCAGCTTGCAGAAGTGCCCCCAAATTACAGTCCTGTGATCTCCCTTTAGAAGCCCCCACTCAGGGGGCCAGTGAAGGGGAGGGCTGCTGGCTGCTGGAGGCTCACTTCAGCTAATGGAGCGGTGAAAAGAGCAGCCTCTTTGAATGGATGGCCCTCGCCTTCCTTGACTGTTGGAGAATATAAAATCGGTTCCCCCGGGGCAAGGGCTCATTGTGAAGGATACCCGGTGGGGGGGGCTGAGGGGAAATGGTTGCGAATTATAGGCCCCTCGGCCGTCTTCCTTTATTTCTTCTGCCGCTCTCTCCTTCACGTGATGCTGATGCCAGGTGTTCGGTGCCTACTCTGCCACCATGGGTCGTCCCGGGGCGGGTTCTGCTGCTGCTGCTGCGGCGTGCTGATTCCAGCCAGCAGGCCCAGAGCAAGAGCTGCTGTTGGGGTGGGGTGTTCTCTTTCTGTTGGCCAGGTTGCCCTGTACAGAAAACAGTGTCTGGGGTGGGGGGCTCCTGGTTGCAGAGGGAAACAGTTTGTCCTGCCTTGGTTAAGATACTGAGCACCAGGCCCCGTTCCACCATGGTTTATTAACATTCTCCCTTCCCTGTGAACTGTCGTGGGTGCTCCCCGTGGCTCTCGTTGAACTCTGAGCAGCTCAGCCTTCTGGTAGCCCTTCGCCCATGCTTGCTGATCTGGGGCAGCAGTTGCTTGCCGAGGCGGATGGGCCACCTTTTCCACCCCGCGGGACCCTTGGCTGGACCTCTGGCCCCTGGCTGTGGGGGAAGAGGGGGAATTCCTTCCCTTGGACTCTCGGCCATGTGCCGAGGCTGGAAGGTATAGCAGCTTCCTTGTCTCCAGTTTTCCTCCGGTTCATTTTTATTTCTGTATTTATTTCATTGCCTCTTGCTGCCTGCCTGCTCCCAACAGAGCAAAAACGCTTCTGTACTTGGGCCTGCAGCTAAAACACGGAGGCCCAAATCAGGCTCATGCCAGTTCCACCAACGCAGATGAAGGAAGCGAAGGGCAGGGCAGGGCCCGGCCTTTCAGGCCCCCCACCAGCAGGACCGACTACCTGGATTCCTAAGGCTGGATCCGGCGCAGCAGGCGTCCTGCTCCCGCCTCGGCCTTCTTAGGAACTGTGGTCTGCACGCCAGCGTTTGGTTGTGGCACAGCTGTGCTCAGCTGCCAGCGGGAGTGGGTCTGGCTTCAGGGGGTTACAGTTCTCTTCTTCCTCCCCCAGGTGAACATTGCGGACTTCCAGGACAACCAGTGGCTGACCTGTTTCCAGGAGTCGGCAGAGGCCATCCTCGGGCAAAACACAGCTTATCTGGGGGAGCTGAAGGAGAAGGTCAGGGTGCCCTTTGTGGCTAGGCGAGCCCCTCTTGCCTTGCCTTTCCAGGATGAGGTCATGCTTTTCGGGCAGCCTCTTCCCCGCAAGGTGCATGTGCACGCATGCATACGCACGCGTGGCGGGGTGCTGCCAGGGGCAGGAGTTAGGCTGGTTTGAGCACCTGCCCAAAGGGCAGGGTTGAGCTGTAGCCGTTCATTAGAAAGCCGGAACGTAGGAACCGCTCGCTGGGTCAGACTGAGGCCACCCTGGCCAGCCCCAGTTTTTCCCTCAGCAACTGGAAGCCAAAGGTTCGTGCGGTTCCTTAGCAGCTCCGAGATGCCTCCTGAGTGTCCCTTTTGCCCCTTTGTCGCCTGACGGCTTCCCCAGCTGGCTTTCTTCATAGAACGTACCGGACAGATCCTGAACGTTGCTTGCCCTAAGCTCCTCGGATTCTCTCTCTCTTTTCCCTTAGAATCCTAATGTTCTTCTGCCAGTTGGCAGCCTTTCCTCCTTGAAGCCTTTGCAACCTTGCAGCTTCCTGGACGCTCCTCGGAAGCGTTGCTCACCTCTTCCTGGCCTTGCTTGCAGCAGAGCTGAGCCTCTGTCCTGGAGCTGTTCGGGGCTCTTCTGGCACTAGGAAGAGGCTTGCCCGCTTGGCTCTTCCTCTCAGTCTTTTCCGCTAGTTCCCTTTGGCAGACCACTGGGACGGCTGGGCCCCGCAACCTCCCGCTTGCCTGCATGCACACTGTGGGGTTAGGGTCCCTGTTTCCTGCTGGGTCTGCCACAGCTGCATCTTGCGCCGGGAGACCGAGCCTTTCCTCTCAGGGGGGAGGTCCGCTTTCGCGGTGCGGCTGCAGAGCAGGGAGGCTGAACCAGCGCCAAGCCAAAGGACGGGGGCTCCCCTCCCAGCAGTGCCTGTTTGGGCCAGAACACTCAGGAGGAGTGCTGAAGAGCGGGTGGGCTTCTGCTCTTTTGTTCCGCAGAATGAGCAAGCGTTCGACGAGATTCTCCAGAACGCCAATTTTACCTCCCATGAATTCCGGATCCGAGTCAAGCTGGAGACGTTCAATGTAAGAGGACCAATGAGCAGGTCACAATCCTGGGGGCGCTGGCCCGGACGGGCCTGAATCCGTCTGGCAGCTGGGACTTCTGTTTGGCAAGACAGCTGGGAAATGCTCCGCTTCAACTCAAAATGAAAGGAGGTTCTGAGGCATCAGGAGGCGCGCTCGGCCGGCAGTCCCCCGGATGGGTTCAGGGGCTGCGGGGGGTTCTCTTGCTCGAGGACGGGGCTGGTGGCGAAGGCAGGCGCAGGGCGCCACAAGCTCTGTTTCTGTGGCGTTGCCAAGGGCCCCAGTGGGGCGAGCTGTGGGACTGCTGGGATTCTGACCTGGGAGGGCTTTCTGTCGCTCCAGCATCCCTCACGGTGATTCGAGAGCAAACAGATTGGACTGAAATCTCCACGTCATGCAGAGGGTGTGCAATCAGGGTGCTCCAAAGCCCCAGATAGCAAGCTGATAAGACGGGGGCGGGGTGGGGGGGCGGCTGAGCGGCTGGCTTTGTTTGTTCACGGGAGGGTTGCTTTGATGAGAGCCAGGCTGCTGAAACCTGGTTTGCCTCCAGCCTCTCAGCGCAAACAGGGCATTGGCCTTTCACAGTCGATAGCCTTAAGCTCCAGGGACTCCCAAAGCCCATCAGGCTGTGCCCAGCTTAGCCGCCGAGCCATCCCTTCCTCACCGAAAGCTTTCTGTCTTTCCAAGGATGAGTCACGCCTGAAGGCAACCGCAGTGGAGGTGAAGCCAGTCAACTACAAGGAGTACAGCAAGAGGCTGATCATGAACATCCGGAAGAACGCCGCCCGGCTGGGCTGAGGTGCCCCCCACCGGTCAACTGCGGGGCGGAACTGCAGAGAGCAAAGCCGAAGATTTCT